GCAGGAGCTACGTGTTCTTCTTCTACTCTGTATCCCTTACCCGGAGCCCATAACGGGATCTGGCACATAACTGTTGCACAGTGAACGAATCGGGAAGACCACATTCCCTTGTGTCACCTACAATCCCCACTCTGCTAACCTTTCTAGGCTCCTTCAGCTGCTTCCTAACTGCCTGCAGGCTTCTCCCCTTCTAGCCCTTCACAGGTCTTTCCATTCTTTCTAAAGCACAGTTCTGATATATCCATTTTAAAACATGTGGCTCCCCACTGCCGAAGTCCTCTGTAAGCTTTCAAGGCCTTTTATGATCCAGCCCCAACCCCTTTTTTCATGTTTTATCTTTCACTGATCCATACACTTTCATGTTTCTGGACCTTCGTTCATGCTGTTGCCCCTGCTGAAAACTAACCTAACTATTCTCATCTGTGCCCACAGGACTTTATTTCTACCACTACTAGAGTGCTCCTCATACCGTAGCACACTTTGTACATGGGCTCCTGCTTCTGTCCTCCCCACCCAGCCCCCATCATCCTAGATTGTGAGCTCCTTCAATGCAGGAGTGCTGTTCTGTTTATCCCTATTTCTAGGCCTGCATGCACGCATTGTACAAAGTAGGTGCCCAACTGACTTTTGAGTTTAAAAAGATGCCCAGATTAACCTTACATAGCCATGGAAGAGTAAAAGCAAAAAAAAAAAAGCAAACAAAAAAACACAATGCAGACTATGTTCTCAGTAACCCATGGACACTAACAACAACAACAACAAAGGCCAAGTACAACAACCTAATCTAAAGTTAGTAAGTACCCTATGAGACTTGGGGAGATGGGCATGGGGACCAAAAGAGATAGGCCTTGTTTAAAATAACTACAGGAGTAATAACAGCCAGTATGTATGAGCACTTGATTCAGTTCATATGTGCTAAGTAAATTATATGCATTATTTATTCCTCACAGCAGGCCTATAATGTAGGACTACTATTTTCCCTGTTTTATTCACAGAAAAACAAAATGACAAAAAAACCCAAGGCAGGGAAAGTTAAGAAACTGAGCAGAGGCCCCTCAGCTGGTAAGTGCAGCAGATCCAGGCTGTCTGACTACACAGCCTTAACTGAACTACCATGATAGGCCACCTTTCTTCCAAACAGCAGGTGCAGCAGGAGAGCTAAAAAATGTCACAGTGTACATCTGTGTGGATAAACAACACGCCAAGGCCCCAAAGTATGGCAGAGGGCAAATGGATTAAGAATAAAGAGACAAAAGGCGAAATGTCATTATTGTGGCTGCATGATTTGGACAGCCTAAAAAGCTACACACCATCCTAGCACAGACTGTGGGAACAGCACAGAAGCAAATACAGCAGTGAGAAAAGACTGCAGTGCCACTGACACCTGCCAAAAGTCTCATTCTCTGAGAAATGAGCCTGTCAAATTTCTGAGCAATCTTGCTGACAATTTCAACACTTAGTAGGAAGGAAACAACTGGAGGAAACAATGGGAGGAACTGTGAACCTATTCTAACCAGTAAAGAAACACTGCTTGGTAACAAGGAAGCAAGAGGAATATGTAAAGATAACTTGGTAGAGAGATTAACTGCGACTTATTTTCCTGGAGGATCATCACACTGAGAATGAGAAATAATAAAGAGGTAGAGGTATTTCCCTCTCAATCCTAATTCTATCCCAACCAAAACCTACTATGTACTGCAACTCCCAGTGTGACTTCGATGCACCACGAATGGTCAGAAGTTAGCCATGGAGGGTTCTGGATAGCAGGGCCAATGGAAGTGCAAGGCAGTAGGAAGCAGAGAGTAGGCAGAAAGCAAAATGCGAACTTCACATACCTAAACTCCCACTCTAGGTGTGCCTCATAGGCTGCATGACTCTGACATGTTACTTAACCTCTCAGTTTCACGTGTCCTCACCTGTAAAATCAGGATAATACCACTTTCTTAGGGTAACAGTTAAATGAGACAACGATAAAAAGCACTGAGCTCAGGGCCTGGCACCTGGTAAGTACACAAGAAATGTCAGGCATTAATATGGTAATTACTATCCTGTAAGAGATTTCTCTATAACTCATTAACTTTTCTACAATGATTTGCTTGCTGTTACTTCCACCAAGCTTCACAGCATATAATGCAAACCCTGACAAAAAAATAAGTGATTCTGCCCTCATTTTCATGTCAGTGTTTCAGTGCAATCCAACTAAACGACATTTAGAAAGCCCTGTAACATCACTGTGCTAGGCTAAGCTGGATGGGGACAAATGGGTAGTCTGAGTAAAACACAACCCTGCCTTCAAAAATTAAATGAGGTCTCTTTTGGGAACACAGAGAAACTACCAGTAATTTTTCCTGAGTTGCAGAGGTTAGGCTGTAACCCAGTTGGCAATGACAAACAATCCCCAAAACAGCCACAAAAACACGTCTTTGGTGTTTTGGGATGTCTTTGGATTCACTGCCCAGTTATTTTTAAGAAATGAATGACTCTTTGAGAACTGTACTGGCAGCAAACAGATCTCATATGGGTTGGTCTTTAAGGTCAGTTATTCTGGGTTACATACATGTATAAAGAGAAAAACAAAAGAAAAAGAAGGAAAAAAAGGTGAATGAAGTATCTAAGTATATAATACTAAGATGCAGAAGATGGGGGTAAATAGATGAGAGATTATCTTGTTCACCTCTAGTACAAGAAGCAGTACTAGCTGACGGTCAATCAGAAGTGCAAGCCTGGCTTGGAAATAATGGAAAGATTTTTTTTTCCCAAAGTGAAAAGTTTTATTTGTTTTTTCTTATTATAAAAATAATGTATGTTCAATGCTCAAAAAAAACCAGAATATATAAAAGTGCAAAAAATAAGGAAAATCACACATAATCCCCCCAGCCAGAGATTATCACAACCTTTTGATGTTTCTCCTCCTAGACTTTTCTAAACCTATACTTTTTATCAATTACTTCTTTTTCAAAAATGGGGTAATACCACACATGCTGTTTGAAACTTTTTTTCCCACGCTTCTATCATACTCATCTTTCCACCTAACACAGAATCCCAAAATCAAAGTCAAAGGACAGTTTTCCACAGGTATATTCCCTGACACCATAACAACATGAAAAAGGGAATGCAAGACACAAAAAGTGGCCTAGGAGACCCCTACTGACTGTTCCCACTACCAAACTCCACACAGGTACTCCAAGACCAGCTTGGGTGAGGTACATATTTTCTCAGCACAGGGCGATTCCCAGGCGGGAAGGGCAGAGTTTGGGCTCAGGCAGCCTGCCCGGTTGTGGACCTCGGGTCTGCAGCATCACGCACATGCTGAGGCCTCTGCACTGAAGAGGTGACTCTGAGAGCTCTGCTGCCCAACCTCAGAGCCCTTCAAGTAAGCTCCAGAGGGAGTGTGCAGAAGCCATTGGCCCGCACGGATCCTGCAGGGCCCACCTTCCTGCCCCTGCACCCTGGACTCAGAGCTGCTTTGGGCTGGTCATTAAACTGTTTTGTTCACCATATTACCTTCCCAAAGCACACTATTTAAACAGGAATACTAATCTGCATCACTTCTCACAACCTTTAAGGAGTACATAAGTAGCTGTGCCAAGAAAGAGTGGCCCAATGATCAGTTTTATCTACATTATATTTTGCTTAAGGAATGTGGCACAAAGAAGGGAGGACTACGTCACCAGACAGTTTGAACGTATAACCTCAGGGAGCATAGCTAACGTATTGATTAATGGTCCCAGCAGCAGGAAAAAAAGATGGCCGATAGAAGGAACTGGCAATCACTCTTCTACTATTCCTGGGCAGGAAGAGAGTAAAGCTAAGGAGCTCCATCTTTCCTTGAGCAAACTGTACTTTAAGTACAAAATGCTGCTCCAGTGTGGGGTCCGTGGTGCAGCACGGGAACTGCGAACCCGAGACCGACCATCCAGCTCTCAGGCGGAGAGGACAAGACACGCGGTCTGGGGCACGCATCGACAGGCTGGGCCGGAGGCAGAGCTGGAGCCCAGGTGGCCTAGACAGAATGAGGGACTTCTATCATCGGATCCAGACACCGGGCTCAGCAGCAGCCAACTCTGAACTGCAGCCAACTAGCAGGCAGACCCGTGCAGGTCTGATGCAGCCTTAAACAGTACAAGACACACTAAAAACCTGAGTTTATTTTACGTAATATTTATTAGGAAATTACTAGAACTCTGTAATTTCCAGAATCTTATCATGAAAGTAACTGTGTACACAATGATCTATGTGCATCAAGGGACCATGTGGAAAATTAAAGGAAAATGTCACACCTGAGGTTCTAACCTAGGGAGGCAATGTCAAAGGTTGTTTAGGGGACTCCCCCAAGTTCTGGATGAGACAAAAAGGATAGCGAATTGGGCTTAAAAGACAGAAAATAGTGGAGCCAGAGCTCTTGCGGCATCACCTGGAGATGAAGTATTTCATCCCTCCTTATTATTTTAGGTTTCTACTGCTAATCAAATCTATTTCATAAATGCTGCTAGTGAAATTTGTCCAAAAACAAAAGAGGTGAAGAAGGTAGGTTAATCTTGAAGCTATTTAGGTTAGATACCAACCACTGTTCAGCAACCCCTTCCAGTTTGGGCTAAAGCTTAATATCCCATTGGGATCATTCATCTGTCACCATTTATTGAGTATCTATTCTGTGCCAAGCACTGGTTAAGGTGCAGGTAAACAGAGAAGATACAGTCCTTGCCATCTAGTTTATAGAGCAAACAGTAAGAAAATCATTATTCACAACCACGGGATAAATATGCCTGGCATATAGTGAAGCTCAACAAATACTCAGTGGCTGAATCAATACTATAAGTGTGCACAGAAAACAAGGGGGCATCCCAAAGGACACTTATCCCTTTGCCCTAACACAGACAAACCTGACAGTTCACTATTTTGTACACTTGTACACAGAAACCATCCTTAAAAGAATAAACAATTAGCTACAAAGGTCTATGAGACAAAAAGGGGAGGGGGAGTAAGAGTCACGAGAAGTCTTATCACTCCTTTTATATAAAAGAATATTTTAATTCTCGTCCTTAGGAACTATAAAGACTATACATGATTTGGAAATGAGACCGTACCAAACAATGGCCAAAGGAGAATCGTCCATGCTACGCCTTCTCTTTGGTCTGGTCACTCAGAAATATAATGTTATCTGTAAAGAAACCAAATCATAAATATTATTTTCAGAATTCTTTCTCATTTAATTGTTCCTCTATAATACATACTTTAGTGCTGTTATCTAACAGGATTTTAGAAAAATTCCCAAAATGTGAAATAACTCCTGCTATGTTCATGAGAGGCATAGAACAGGCAGCAAAGGAGCTAGAAGTTGGGCTTCAGCTACATGACAACTATTCAGACCTTGCTAGAAGAAGTGTGGTATTTCTTGTCTTCCCTGAAGACAATTATAACTGCTCAGCAATAACTCCCTACAAAAGAACTAGTCACAAATTGCAATGCCTGCAATGCTCAGAAAGATGCCATGAAACCAGGCAGCATGTCCTCACACAGAAGAGGGTCCAGGCATAACATTTCACACACCGGAGGCATGGAGAAAGGATGGGGTCCAACATATGGCCCTGTGAGCAAAGACAGACTGATGTCTTCAAGTAGGTTGTCACACTCACACAGAGGACATTCTATTTTTAAATTTTAAAACAGATTGACTTTTATATACTCATTCTTGGGAAAATTTTTACTAATCAATATTACAGAGAGAGCATTTTCACACAAGAACATCAGACACTGCACTTAAAATGTTGTCCCAGGTGGAGTTAGTTTAGGACAAGCAAAGGAAAAGAAGTAGTACCTCCTGTATAGCTTGAAAATACTCCAGATTCTTGTAACTTTAGAATTATTCAAGAAGTGGTTATTACAATATTTACAACTACAGTCTTCTAAAAACAGAATATTCTGATACAGAATGGTATTGCAGAAGAGATTATTACAACTTGACCCCACAGTGTAAAAAGGCAAGAGTGCCATCCACTGGTGGTTACTTTTACGTTAAAGACATGGATCCCTAGGAGGAAAAAAACCATCAAGCAACCAAATTTAAATTCTATTTCTGAGCACTGGGTGTTATACGCAACTAATGAATCATTGAACACTACATCAAAAACTAATGATGTACTATATGTTGGCTAATTGAAGAAAAAAAAGAAATAAACTCTATTTCTTTCAATTCAAATGTCACTAAAGATCTATTCATTTTTACTACTGGCCATAAATCTATTAATTGCTCAATTAACTCACCCATGCTGTGAGTACTAGTGACAAAAGAAAAGAAAGTGACAGATAATCTGAACTATTTCTATTTAGTGGTTGGCTTGGTTCAGAACAATTCATACAATCCGAAGTTTGCCCACACTTTTGGTTTATAGTAGAATAGGAAAGTGTTAAATGCTTTATAAACACATAATTGATAGAGATTTAGAAATGCTAAATTTTTATTAGAAAATTTGACTTTCCACTGATAAAATCATAGGTGTAGTTCTATGCCCTGCAGAGGTCTACAAAAAAATTTTTGAATAGGCAGATATCTCTGGAGACATGGCCTAAGGAAGAAGAGCTCGCAGAAATGAAATACTATCAAGACACCCAAGAATTATGAAATCAAAATGGTCAGATAGGACCTCATCTAAGGTCTGATAATGAGGGTAGAAAGATAACTATGTTGGTTTTCAAGGTCAATATACCTCAAAGAAACCAGTAAGAAAATATATTTTTCATTATTTATAACAAATTATAATTTATCAATATGGTACAGTGGTTAAGACATGGACTCTGGAGCAAGGTAAAAAAGAAAGGTAAAAGGAAAATCTGTCAATTACGAGACTTAAGTTCTCAGAGGTCTAGCCGCCAAAATTGTGAGAAAATAAATTTCTATTATTTAAAAGAAATTAAGAAAGACTTAAGATACATATAAACCATGAAAGATAACCTATGGACTTGTATCTATGAAGCAATGAAAGAAATTTAAACATTGTGATGTCTGGTAAAAAAAAATTAATAATTTCTTAATACTATGTATGATAATAGCACTATAGTTATGCTTTAAATAGGAATCCTTATCTTTCAGAAATACCTACTGAAAATATTTATGGATGAAATAATATAATGTCTGGAATCCACTAGAAAATAATCTAAGTGGAGGAAAAGTGGTCTGGAGAAATAGAAGAAATAATATTGGCCATCAGTTGGTAATTGTCGAAGCTAAATGACAGATTTTTTTTCCACTTTTCTATGTTTGTGTATGTTTGACATTTTCGATAATTAAAAAAATTAATTTTTAAAGATATCAAATTTTGGCATATCTCAGAAGTGCATAAACACTGAGACATTACTTTCTTTCATTTCTATGTACTTACTTATCCAAAAGGTTTCTCAGTGTTTACATCCATAAAAACTAATAAAAGAATAGAATTAACGTTTAACAACGGGTCTTATTTTAACAATTTATTGAAGGGGTAAAAAATGGCCATCTCTCTCATTAAAAGATGCATTTCCAATAAAATTTCAGTTTTCAAATTTATATATTAAAATTGCTTTGGTACTTTATGTTCTAAAAACAACACAATGATAACCCAATCAAGAAGAAATGTAATATTTATAGTCTTAATATCACAGAATTCTTAAAAATATTTTTAAATTTCTATTTATGTTATGTGTTTTTGTCATGAACATAATAGGATGAATAATAAAACATTCTTAACTATACAATATATATTAAGATACATTTCTTAGGAGAAAATGGAAAAACAAGCTCAGAGAAAAAGAAATAACATAAAATTTCCAAATGTTGGAGAGCTTGTTCGTGTATTTTTTTCAAGGATGATGGGTATCAAATTGCTATGGTATTTACATCCATTAATACAATTCAGAGTAACAATTTCATATTGAAAAATATTTTCATGACAACTTAAAAATGTCCAAAGGGCTACATTTGTTTCAAAATTCTCGTAGAATTTTCAAAAAAGTTTGAAAACTCTGCTCTGGGAGGTATCTCCTTGACCTTTAAGCTTTCATGTCCATGTTTCCTACGTTCTTTCGCATTTTGTCTAAGGAAAGCAACAGGAACTTAAAATCATCATGTTAAGGACCAGGCAGGCTGTGAATAAACCTGCACAAATGCTACTCACAGTAGGGTAACTCTATCTTGGCACAGGCTTCTCCCTGTTTAGACCATGTCCTCAAAGACATTAAAGTTTTTCTCACTTCAAACAGTTAAGTACTGACACAGATGCTCTACTCAAAAGTTACTGAAATGAAACAGAGACAACTTTTGAAGGATCAGGAAAAGTAGACACTCATAGCAAAGCCACAAACCAGACTCACAATTCTCATGGTGAGCTGCCTGACAATCTCAGCATCAGTACTCAAAGCCCCTGTTCAAGTTACTTACAACACGCCAAGCCTTTAAAGAGGGGAAGGAGGCGGGGAGGAATAGATATTATCACAAGCTTCTTACCAGCTATGATTGTTGTTGCTTGCCGCCTCACGTTATTTTTATCTGTGTATTCACCATAGTCTACTTTCCCTTCTACATAAATTCGGGACCTGATAAATGTAAAATTTACAGTTTTCAGTCTGGAGAGTCTCATCTGTTTTACAAGACAGAGTCAGGTGAGAGGCAGTAACAAGTACACACTAAGGATGAAACACAGAATCATCGCATAACCTCATTTTTGCTACCGCATCTCAAAGTTCAACATCAGGAGTATTAAGGGTACTGAAACAGAATGTCCACACAGACTTGACAAACCCAGGTAAAAAGGACAATATTCTCAGCCTTGAGCTGACAGCAGTCCTCATGAAAGTTTAAAAAAAAAAAGGGACTTTAAGACCACGAAATGGAAGAGCAACACAGCATCATCCTTTGGATCTCTAGGACTGATTTCCAAAGTGTCATTTTCCCCCACCTGATTCTGGACTCCCTAACAGATTTGCTGATTTTCACTTATTGTTCAAATTCCTTCCCACAGTCAGGTTCATGAACTTATTCTCAAGGGACTTAAATTATTAAAATTCAAAATGGAGGTTTTCAGCTTAGTATTGCACTTAGAGTTAATTACTACAACCACTTCTGCACTGTTTAGAAGGCTGAACCACAAGACAACCATAGCTGATTTTAAAGGGTAGAAAATACATGCTGGCATCAATTTTTAGAGTCTACCACCACCAACAAGGCATAATATAGAAAGTAGACAAAACTGGTAAAATGATTGTAGGCCAAAGGGAATACACACAAATTCATCAATCAGTGGGTGAAATTGCATACAGATATTTTTCTTGAAATTTCCTGTATTTATAGGTGTGTGTAAATGCACAAATTCATACATACATACAGGACTTTGGAAGTACATATAAAAAAAGGCATGAAGTTATTAAAAAGAAACAAATTTTAGTTATTCCTGAAATTATTTTTGAGGAAATATACTTCATTTCTATAAAACAAGTACATTTCTAAATATATTAACTACGAATACAACTGCTGTTCAACACACCCTTTTGTCCTTCTATGGGTTTGGAAAAGACAATTTTTATTTATAATCAATCCAAGCATCCCAAAAGGGAACTACTAAGCTGATATAAAATTATCAAACATAACATGACTGCTGTGAACACTGCCATACCTCACTGTGTCAGGCTTCAGACACTCTAGGTCCTGTACTAAGGACTCTAAGTAGATGCCAAGAGGCGACACAGGAACTCCTAAAAGCACATGTTGCACTTGCTCACACGGCACTCAGTACACTCTGCCTTCTCTCTTGCCTCATCTGCTTCTATTTATGTACACCCCTTATTTGCCCTAAACTGTAAGTTCTTAGAAAGCTAAACCATGTTTTACACACCTCTGAATTAGTTACACATGGCAACACGCCATGCATATAGTACTAAGCTCTGAATAAATATCTCCAGTTAACAGAGTAATTAGGATAAAGGAGTTGGGCATTCCCTGAAAACACCTTTGACCAGTTTTTTAAACCATTCGATCTATAAGATCCTTCCTTCCTCAACTTACCCCTTTTTCACATACTGATATGCCACATCTCTGAGGCCTGGGCGGAATACTGATATTCTGTGCCATGTTGTCTTTTGACTGACATCACCTAAATCACAAGAATAGGAAACATGGTTATAAATGCCAGCACACAAAACAAATGCCAAAAGACAACATGCCCAGCAAAACCAATGTCACAATTTCTAAAAGAAAGGAACAGAATTAGAGAAGAAAGATTCTTTCTAAAAGTAGCTCATCTCTAATCAACTAACTGAGAATAAATATTGTCTCTTTATTGCTGATACAATGAAAACCCTAGTCTTTTATACTCACCCATCTGGTAGGCTTCACTCTCCCCAGACCGCCACATCTCATTTGTCGCTAGAGAAAATATCGTGACCGGGTTTTTCCCTTCCACCTGTCTCATGACGGGGTCCTGACCCACTCGCCCAAGCAGCTGCACACGGTTCAGAGCTGAAACACAGTGTGGAAATAAAATGAGATTCAGATAAAGGTCCAGAAGGGGAACAGCTACAAATACTACTTCAACTTCGATCTCCGCATTGAACAAAACCCAAGTTCTAAAAGATCCGAGCTTAGTTGGGGCAAATAAAGGGAGGCTGGGAGGGAAAAGAAGGGTTGGCAAGAAGGGAGAAAATATTCTTAGAGAAAGTATCCCACAAAACAAACATTAAGCTCTTTATAAAATACCTTTTTTTGAAAAAACTATGATTCAAAGAACAAATCTGAGATCTGAAAATCTTTATAAATATGAGTGAATATTTCTGTGAAAGAACAGCTTGCACAAACTTTCACTCCCTCAGCCAAATGGCGCGTGACCTTGGAAGACTGAGATAACCAAACAGGACTCAAGGAAATCCTACAAGGCCCCTGCAGCCTGAGGGGCGAGGCCAAGAGCGGAGATGCAAACATGAGCCAAGAGCCTAAGGATTAACAGATTATAAACCAACTAGTGCACCTCTTCTACAACACATTTAAAAATTTTTGTACGTTGCTATAAATAACATACTTTAAACTAGGAAATTAGCTGCTACTTACATCTTTCAAGAACCAAGCTGCTAGCTATTTCAGACTCACGTCTTACAAACTGGTGAAATACCTAAAGTGGAACAAATGAGTAAAATGGCTTTAATTTGGGAGGAAAGGCAAACACAAACAGAAGACCTGCTTACACTCAGTCACCATCACATCAGCAGCTCCTATAGCACACATCCCCAGAGGACAAGCAATGCACGTCACGTGTTCCCCCCTCACAACACCAGGAGGACCACGCAAACGCTTGAGGGCCTTGAGGGCTGACTATTCCAGAAGCCCAAGGGTACCAAGTCCTAGACGGCAAGCCCAGGAAAGTTGATTTAGAATCCCCTCCTGTTTCTTTTTCATGGCAACCTTCCTGATTATGGTGCTTCCGTGGCCACACACAAAGGGTAAAGTCAAATATATGCTGGAAAAAATTCATGCTTTAGATAGACCAAAGAAAAAAGTCTAGACAGACAAATGGGATTCTCTGATAAAGTACAAAAATAGGACTATTCAAGTCAGTCTGTCAGAGGAAGGTAGTAACTGACACAAAATAGCAACAATGATGTAACAGCCATCACTACTGAATACCAGCTAACTACTTTACCTCTTACAAATTAGTCCCTGGAATAAATCGATCAACTATGTAAAATTATCCCTACTTTAGAGACCAAAAAAAAAAAAAAAACAGTTTAGAGACATTAAGTACCCTGCCCAAAATCCTACAAGAAATAACTGGCAAGTCGTGCCTAGAACCCAGGGCCATCTGACACCAAGGCTGCCACTTTTCCCACTGCCCTCTGCTGTCTCCTTGAAGACATTCTGTTCAAGGGCTCCTGCCATGAGAGGAGCGCACAGTCCTGGGCATGTCGCTGGTTTCAGCGTTCAGAGAGCTACTCACTACATCAGAGAAGCATGTGTCGAGTGGTAGCACTGTTACTATGAAAAGCAGATGTCCACCAACCAAATGAATACCCGTTCCTGGGCTAGTGCTGACTATGGAATCCTATCACTATGTTTTGGGACACAGAGTGGTTAAAAAACAAAGATGGAATTACCACACAGTAAAGACTCAAAACAAACTAGTACTGGTATCACGCTTCTAGAAAGGTACCAACTAAAGTACTCAGAAGAGCCAGAGCTCACAAGTCTCAGAGTAATAGGTCTCATTTGGGAAACACAAAAATTAAGACCCACTAGAAAAGCAGAAATAGGGAAAGATTTTAACTGGGATAACTTTAAAAATTAAACTTCTCTTTTATGTATCTTAACACTGTAGTATTAAGACAGCAGTAACTCTTCTATGTTCCAAATTTCAACACACATACACTAAGAAAGGCTAAAACTATGTATAGGTTAAAGTGGGGATCCAAGAATACAGGGTCAATTCTACAGCAGACTGGGGGAGATGAGAACAGGTTTCAGAGAGGAATTGATTCTTCATCAGTCTTAACAAGATGAGGAGTGAGAGAGGTGTTATGAAGAAGAATCTACAAACTTCACGCCCAAATGTAAGTGAGGAAAGTGGGTAGTCTAGGCTGGCTGAAGGCTGGCTAGTGTCTGGAGAAATAAGCAGTTAGACTGGTGGAAGTGAGAAGGAATTCAGGACATAGTACATTTGTGGTGACATGGTGACTTCTGCTGCACTCTTCAGCAAAGGGAGATGGGGGATGGAGAGTTGACCACAGAGGAGGGAGGTGGTCAAAATGGAACCACATGTCTCATAGAAAACGGCTGGAAATGATTCTCATAGTCTTTAGATCACTAAAGACATTAAATGCTAACTGATCTAAATGCAAGTAACATGTTTTAAAAAGTTATGACTCCCATAATACATGTAAGCTAGAAAATTTTTGTTTTTAGTGAACATCATTTACACAAGTAAAATCTGTCGTAAATCCTCCCTACCAAATGAGTACACATAAAAGTAGGTGGGCTCAAAGGTCTTTTACCTCTGCAGTCAAAGCCTGAAGAAATCTGATCACTAAGGCTGATAATAACGCATCTCAACACTAATACGGAAAAGTGATTACCTGTAATACAGGTCTTCGAAACATGGCTTCTATTTGGTTTTCCTACAAACTAGTCTTTGGTCTTCCCCTGAAAAAAAAAAGAGAGAGAGAGAAATACTATATCTCAGGGCAAGAGCACAAATTCACTAACCCTAAATTCCTAACTGCATTCATAATTTTTATGCGGTCCACCTGCGACCATAAACATCAACATCCCTGCACATTTTACGAGGACTCCCCCCTCAAAAAAAAAAAAAAAAAGTTTGTCTTTTTTATTCCCCTTGGCTTCTTCTAACACATACAAAAAATACTTTCTGATTTATACCCATTTGCATTCCAGTCTTCTCAAATTTCATTAAAATGCAAGCCCCCTTAGAGCTGGGATTTTCGTCTGATTTATTCACCGCCACATCCAATACTCCTTACTTAGTTCCTAACTCATAGTGAGGATTCAAAGTATCACAAAATCACCAAGGGGCTTAAATCTGAAACTTGCTGCTGCAAAAATTACTGCCTCCAATCCCGTTAGCAAAGACCACGGATATCCCTGGACTCCCCGGCCTCACCGCCGGGATGGATGGGCGCCCTTTCTCAAAGGTGGCGCTCCTAACCAGCAACGTAAAGGGACTGGAAAGTGGCCGAAAACCCTTAAGTCCTCCGCACCGGTGAGATGAGAACGGCCAAGACAGACACAGAACAACCTCCCGAGCCACAGAGAGCCGCACGCACACCTTGCGAAGAACTCCTGGCTCCCTCCCTCCCTCCCGCCCCGGACGCTCTAGCGGGTTCAGCTTCTCGCTAGGCGAGCACTTCCGGATACAAAGAGGACGCAAGCCTCGCGAGAGGAATAAGAAAACGGAAAGTCTGCTGCGTGCGTCGTAGAAATGATCCGGCCACCGCTGCGGGAAGCAAGCATCTTTGATGCGGTAGTTCCGCGAGCTTTTTTCCCGACGGGAGAGGATAAGGTAACGCCGCCGAGTGGTGAGTGGAGCGGATTTCAAGTTTCTAACGAAATGAAATTATTTGACAAGCTTCCCAGCCCGGACCAGGAGGGGCCGAGGTAGACGAAACAAAGGATAGGTCGGCCTCAGGGAAAGACTGGCCAGGCCTGCTAAAGTATGAAGGAAACCAGAGAAAGTTGGGGGGGGGGGAGCGAAAAATTCAAGGGGTGCCAAAAAATTTGGCAATCAAAATAATATTTTAAGAAGAATCAGGATAATATTTTAAGAGTGTATTAATTAAATAGATACAATTAAATCTGTGATGAACAAAGAAATCAAAATTTTAACTAAGTATAAGTTCTGAGCCATATTGAATCCTGAGGCACAAGAAAAAATAAACGTGGGCCCCTGGGTGGCTCAGTCGTTAAGCGACTGCCTTCCGCTCAGGTCATGATCCCAGGGTCCTGGGATCGAGTCCCACATCGGGCTCCCTGCTCAGCGGGAAGCCTGCTTCTCCCTCTCCCACTCCCCCTGCTTGTGTTCCTGCTCTCGCTGTGTCTCTCTGTCAAATAAATAAATAAAATCTTTTTTAAAAAATAAATAAATAAATAAACGTTTTTACATATACCAAAAAAAATTGCGGAGCATTAAAGTACTTGAATATCGAAAATTTGAAGAGAGGGTATTTAAAAACTCACATTAAGTTGAAATATTTTATTTATACCAAAAACAGAAGTCACTGTAGTTTTACTTTCCTGGCTTTAATAGAAGTAAGTTGATCAATAATATTTACAAAAATATACTTCTTTGCTTATCTTATTTCCAATTACGGGAATTGCCATGTCTGACAATTTTTCTTGCCCAAGTTGCAATCTTAAACAGTTTTAAATAACATCAGCTTACTGATCTTGTTTTATTTAAAATTCTGGTATGTTCTTCATTGTGGATCTTTTCATTAATTTTAATATTTTTTAAATATTGCATTAAAGTGTCCTTGATCTTGATTTCTGTGTTTCTTGGCACCCCTTAAATTTTGCCTCATTCCTCCTAATCTTGGCCCTGCTTAGCAAGAGGGTATTGGGGTCCCACGGATTGCAGGATGCAGGCCAGAGGCGGCCTCCCCAGGTATCTCCTCTGCTGGTCCTTGTCCTGTCCAACTTCTAGAAAAGGAGGGAACCCTCCAAATCATTCTAACAAGTAAATCTCTTTCTCGGGACCCTACTTAAAGGCCTTCATTGGCCCATTTTTGCCCTCAAAGGAGAAAATGCGAACTACTTAACATGGTTTCCAATGCACACTTTAACCTGCTCCTAAATGTCTGGCTTACTAGTTGGTACATTCTAGATGCTTTTCTCCCGTTTTACCTCTACCTTCACAATGTTTAGCTCCTGAAACAGTATGTTATACTGCCTTCAGGCCGTGCACAGGTATTAATCGTCCCATACCCCACCAACTTTGTTACTACTGTCAGTGCCCTCCAGTGATGTCCTGTTTAAAAATCTCACTTCTAGGGGCTCAGTCGGCTAAGCGTCTGACTCTTGATTTAGGCTCAGGTCATGATCTCAGGGTCCTGAGATGCAGCCCCACCTCAGGCTCCATGCTTAGCCCAGAGTCTGCTGGAGACTCTCTTCCTCTCCCTCCCCCTTCTGCTCCCCCCATCTAAAATAAATAAAATCTTTAAAAAAAATTCCTTTAAATAAAAATTTCCCTTCTACTTGAGCTGTTGAGTCAAATGAAAAGTAAAATTCATCCGTTCCTCCAAAACCAATTTCCCCCTTCGAAGCTACTTGTTTATTTTAATGGTACCAACGTTATCCCAGACTTGAACTTTGGAATCATCTTTAAAACTTCTCCCCCCATCACCTACATCCATTTGTCCATATCCACTCCGCCCTAAAAGTTATTTCATTATGCCACTGACCTCTCCCTCTTTCTATTTGCACATACTTCTGAGTGAGGAGTGTGGAAAGGGTTGTTTAAAATAAAAAGCAGAAAGCACGCCAATTGAAAACAGACAGCCTTGGGCAAACTCATAACTTTATAAATAATATCTTAATCTAAATAAATAGCATCTTATGCTGATCGCAGTTTTCAGACAGGAATTGCCCATACACATGCTCCTTAGGTTGTTGAAACAAATTGCAAGTGCTACTTTCCTTTTTCTTCTTGACAAAACAAAACAAAACAAAAACATTAAAATGTACAAAATATATAAATGTATGATGTCATGGAAGACATTTAACTCATGATGTCATGAGTTAAAGCATTTTCTTATTATCAACTAGATCCTCCTGTCCCATAACAAATGCTCCAGCATTGCTTTGCTCTCACTGTTCTCAGCATCGGAAATGCCCTTCTCCATACTTTCAAAATTCTCTACTCAAAGTCCTTACTTTGTTCTCCCATCTCACTTTCTTTATACATTCAGTTTATCTTGTATTATAATTTGGATGACCATGAAGGTGCTTTGTCTTCCCCATTGACTGTGAGCTCTTAGGGGCAGGGACTTTGTGAATATCCAATCAAAAATTATGCTTTAAAGCAAGGAGAGGCTTTAGAAGTGTTCAGGTCACAGGCTAGAACGAAGAAATAGAAAGAAAAAATAGGAAGAACCCAGAAGGATACTCAAGCCTGAAGTTAGAAGACTAACAACAAACAACAAAAGAATCAGCGACCTGGAAGAGTAACTGAAATGTATTTTTGTAATAGAGACGCCACTCTTCCAAGAATCTCCAATTTGCATAGTTATAGACTGTCTGTAGTTCATCCCTGGGTCCAGAAAGGTCCTTCTCGATGCTGAGAAGTAGTGACAGATAGCAATGTGACTTTAATCAGTTACCATTTACCCCTGGCAGTAGTGGAATAATTCATGGCTTTCATCTTTTGCAAAGCTAGCTGAGAAAGAGGAGTGTCTATCATAGATGCCCAAGGCCAAAAAGTTATCTTTGCCCTTGCCTTTTTTTTCCCCCTCTAAATTAGAAAAAGCCTCAGCTAGATGCATCAAGTGGTAGAGACCAGGGCTGGCAATGCTTTATCACAGATAGGAAGCTCTGGACAATTTTGTTGGGGTAGAAAAACATTTTTTGGAAATTTCAATCAGATTTTCACTTCGCTTCTAAATCAGTTTTTCTTGGGCGCCTGGGTGGCTCAGTTGGTTAAGCGTCTGCCTTCAGCTCAGGTCATGATCCCAAGGTCCTGGGATCAAGACCCATGTTGGGCTCCCTGTTCAGCAGGGAGTCTGCTTCTCCCTCTCCCTCTGCCCCTCCCCGCTGCTTGTGCATGTGCGCTCTCTCTCTCTCTAATAAATAAAATCTTTTACAAAAATAAATCAGTTTTTCTCAAGCCTCATAACAGTTGGAAGATTATAGCGCTTACTATCTAAATGATTACAGCATCTATTTTAAAAAAGTCGCTCAAAAGCAATTTTAGCAGCACTTCAGTTATTAGTTATCATGACTACTTTTTGTTGTTAAATTTTAAAAATCCACAATTTTTATTGTTCAAAATCAAAAATCTGACAATTTTTATGTAATTCAGGATTGAAATTATAGTTCATACAGAGATTAAAAAAACAAGCTTAGCCATTCAGGCTGAAATGGTGACTTTTATCTTTTAATGTTCATCTTTATACAACTTTAGATAATAGCATCTATAAACTGACACATAGGTTAGAGCTTAGTAAAGCACAATAGTATTCCTTTAAGTCTCAAGATTATCTGTTGGCAACGTAATGTCTGTGTGTGTTTAAGATATCTATAGAAAGCATATTTTTATCCTAAAATATTTAAGTTCAACTTGTTTAATATTGTCAGTCCAATGATATTAATATTTGATAGTTTGACATCTGATAACTAGTTCCTGGGTTATCTTGTGATCTCTGTGCAGAAACAGAACTTCAGACTGAGGGTGGAGCTTCTTAACTGAGGCAAGGGGTCAACTTCAACCTCCAACTGAACTGGAAGGGATTAAATCCCCAGCCCAGTGAAGACCCAGTCCCTCTTACACTCAACAGTGTCTATGCAGCTACGTGCTGATTTAGTAACTTGGTGCTACTGTGGAGCCCCCACCTCCAGAGAGAGAGGGAGAGAAAGCAGTAGTCTGGCACCCAGGTGCCGACATGGGCTCTGAGGAGCAGGGTAGAGAAGAGGTCGTAGACCTTAATAGTACT